GAATCTGTCTTGCAGCTAATGTCAAAAATAAAGAGAATCAAATTCTTTCTGTTTATGCAAGTCAGCATTCCATGTTCCGTTTCTGGAAATAAAATTCCTTTTGATTCATCCAAAATTCATAGGCAATTCCCTCAAAGCAGTACGTTGTCTATTTGTTAGAGGTCTACTTCTGTAACAGTCACATTTCACACAGAGTAGCTCAGTAGAAGAGTCACAGAAAATCTAACCCTGAACTGTCTTTTTGCAGACGCTGAAGGATAAATCCTTCTGCCAGCTCAAAGGAGAAGTGTGATGGCCTTTGTTTTGCAGTGAGCTTACTTACAGCTTACTAACTCATATTTTAGGAATGGTGGAACATCTGAAAACGATAATTTAATTAACTCACATCAGGGCTTCAGAGTAATTATAATGAGGAGAGACTCCCAGAAATTTCTGTACTTCATCCATTACAGTAGATGGGTCAGTTCTCAGCTGCTGTCCATCAATAATTAGCAACTACAACAAAGAAAATAAATGTCCATTTAAAATCCATTAAAATCCAAGCTTCAAACTGAAACTTTCACCTCTGCCAAACTCACTCGTTGTATGGAGAGTACTGCCCCAGAGAATGATAATTGGTTCAGTTTCAATTGTCATCATCATTAATGACTTGGGAGTAGGATAAATGGCGTGTTAATTAAATCTGAAATTAAATTGGAAGCTCTTGTGATTTAAGCCCAGCCGGTAACTCAGAACCACACAGCCGCTTGCTCACTTCCCCACTTCTTCCTCTCTCTGCTCCTGGAGGGATGGGGAGGAGAATCAAAAGAATTTAACTCCCACGGGTTGAGATAAGAGCAGTCCAGTAACTAAGGTATAATACAAACCCACTACTGCTACCACCAATAATAATAATGATAAGAGGAATAACAAGGGAGAGAATACAATTGCTCACCACCCGCCGACCGATACCCAGCCTGATCCCAGCAGCGATCTGGGCCTTCCGGGTAACTCCCCCCAATTTCTACACTGGGCATGATGTGCTGTGGTATGGAATACCCCTTTGGCCAGTTTGGGTCAGGTGTCCTGTCTCTGCTTCCTCCCGGCTTCCCCTCCTCCCTGGCAGAGCATGAGACTGAGAAAGTCCTTGGTCAGAGTAAACATTACTGAGCAACAACTAAAAACATCGGTGTTATCAGCGTTGTTCCCAGGCTGAAAGGTAAAAACACAGCACTGCATCAGCTACTAAGAAGGACAAAAAATGACTGCTGTAGCTGAACCCAAGACAGAAGCTGTTGTGACAACAGAGAAATAGCAGTGAAGGACCTAGAAAGATAAGAAATATTGGCAGAAAATTGAGTGAGATTTGACCAGACAGGAAAAAAAGATAGTAATGTCTAGAGATCTAACCTCTAATTCTCACAATCATGTACATATGGAGACCTTATTGGGGCCTTTCCGTACTTAAAAGGAGCCTATAAGAAAGATGGCAAGAGACTTTTTATCAGGGCCTGTTGTGACAGGATGAGGGGGTGATGTTTTTAAACTAAAAAAGGGGGAGTCCAGACTGGATGTGAGGTAGAAGTTCTTTCAAATGAGGGTGGTAAAACACTGGCCCAGGTTGCCCAGAGAGGTGGTGGATGCACCAACCCTGGAGACATTGAAGGCCAGGCTGGATGTGGTTCTGGGCAACCTGATCTAGTTGAAGATGTTCCTGCTCACTACAGGGGAGTTGGACTAGATGATCTCTAAGGTCCCTTCCAATCCAAACTATTCTATGATTCTATATATTAGTAATGGTGAAAAGCTTGTCACTGGAAATGACCAGAAAGACAGAACACAGTAGGTAGGATGATGTTAGGTGAAATGCCTTACTTTTGAAGCCATACAACCATACATATTTGTTGAAATTATTCAACATAGTATGTTGAAAAAACCCTCATCCTTTGAGAATATTAAAGGCAGATATTACAAGGACCTCAAGGCAGAGATGAAGATGATAGATACAGGATGTGCAACACATCTCTACGAAAGGCAAGTACTGATAGGTCATTCCTTTCTCTTCAAGTGCTTGACCATACACACCCTCACAGAAGGCTACTTCAGACAGAGCCACTCTGTTACCTGACAGTGAATCTTCAGGGAAACAGACACTACCTGAGAATTTTATCAGGTATGGCATCATGGCCAAATGCCACACTGATGATGCTGCAAGTTTGGGTTGTGACTCTCTGAAGAGAAGCAAGGTCCCAAATGGATTAGTCAAGCCTTCATTTCCTGTTATGGAAACACCTCTATTTCTTCTATTATGATGATGAAAAGAGGAGGGGAAATAGGTTCCAACAGTCTTCTTTGCAACCAATAGTGAAGCTTGTTTTTACATTTTCATGTAAGCAGAGAGGCTAAAATCATATAAATTTCTTCCAGGACTGAATGAAACTTAAAGTTTGCAAGACTATGAGGTTTCACAGCATAATCAAAAGGGAGAAAATGTCTTTTCTTTTGAAAGATTGGTCTTTGGAATTACCCATATAGATTTAGAGATGTGGACTAGGGGAAGTACCAGGCTGTTCAGAAAGCAGTAGTCCATTCCAGAAGTCTTTGCAGTCAGATGCATGATGACTGCCTTAGTCCAAGAATGAACTCACTGCTTTCCTAAGACATAAGCTTTGAAAACAAGGCTTTAAGTGCTTCAAAAGAACAGAGATAAAAAAACCCTATCCCAAATGGGTGGTATTTCCATCTGAAAGAAAAGGAGTGAGGGTTTTTTTCTTCACTATTTAATATCACATACAGATAAATAGCTGGGCTGTTCCCACTTCTGCTGCCCTAAAACAGATATGTAAGAAAAAGTTTTACCAATGGAAACTCATTCCAATTCCTTACATTCCCAATAAGCAGGTAACAAAAAATGCTCCCTCTCAACCTCCAGGGAGGCTGTAAGGAACTGAAGCAAAATTTTTCATTATGTGTACTGATTTATTCATATCCTGATCTCAGGAAGATGTAATTTCATTGAATTTCTTGAAATCTAAGCATTTCATGTATTAGAAAGGTAGAAAAATAATGCAGTTTTTACAAAGTAGATAGCTTCATATATAATGAAAATACTACAGATGAAGTATTTTGAGTCACTTTACATCATATTGATCATTTTACTGTAAAATTGCTGGCAGGTGAAGAATCACAGAATAGTTCGGGTTGGAAAGGACCTTAAGATCATCTAGTTCCAAACCCCCTGCCATGAGCAGCAACACCACACACTAGACCATGTCGCCCAAAGCTCTGTCCAACCTGGCCTTGAACACTGCCAGGGATGGAGCATTTATCAGTTCTTTGGGCAGTCTGTTCCAGTGCCCCACCACCCTCACAGGGATTGTTTAAGTCCATTCTCTCCCACTATACATGAGTTATCTTGTGTCTGAAAGTCACCATGGTGGGAGAGGAGCAAGAGAGACATTTTGGAGAACAGCTTAGACGCAGCCTGAGTCTGTCAGCTTTAGACTGGCCATTAAATAATGGCTGTTGCAAAAATCAGCTTCATTTCCTATAAGGCTGGCACATGAACAAATCTTTTGGCTCATGAGGGAGTTTGTCACATCAGGTCCTCTTTTCTTCTGTATGACTATATTGAAACAATGAGTTGTAGGTGGGAAATGAACTTGAGACATGAGCTTCCTAAACTTCTAGAGACCTGCTAGGTGGCCACACAAAAGAGGATTTTGTATTACTTATGAGAGAATAAATTAAGTCAATCAACATTCTAAACACCTGAACCCCAAATTTGCAAAATCCTCTAAGATTTGCAATTTCTTACCATGTAAGACAAGTGTGCTGTTACCACTTTTCTAATGCAAAGGGGACCCTTACCAATTTCTGGTGCTATGTGAACACTTACTTTATGCCTACCGAGTTTACAATGGACATTAAGACTTCAATTTAATCACATGTGTAGAGACCCCCCCAGATTCATACAGCATTAAAAATTATAGACAGTCTTAGATGGTCTGGGTGAGAGCTCTTCTGCTGAAGAAAAGCTCTCATAGTTTTAGATAAGGCTGTACTTTTAAGATGTGCTGATTTTAGGTCTGGCTTACGTAACTGTATTATGCTTCTTTTAACTTGATAACTAGTTTGGATATGGCCTACTGTATATTGTTGCTTTTGCAATTCAAGTTAATCCCTGGTACTTTTACAGAGAAAACATAAGGCTACCAGGGTTATCACTCTGGGATAAAGAATCTGGCAAAAAAACTGTATGACAATGTGCACTGTTCAATATTAATGGACTACTTTTGGAGAAAAGCTAATGAAAACATAACGTAGGGAATTTCATATGAGCATCACAGTATTACAGTGTTGCGTATCTCATGAAGTCTGCAAACGCTGGCCCAAAAGAGGATATGTGGAGAATAACACCAACTCAATACATCAGAGCTTCCTTGGCACGCTAGGAAAATAGAAGGTGTAGACTCCAGCTGATTAGTCTCAGCTAAGCAAGCCCTGGATAAACAGAAGGTTCACATTGCAGCCAACCTCCCTCAACTGAAGTAATCTTTAAAGGCTGGGTGGGGAGTAGTGCCAGAAACACTGCTAATATAAAAAAAATCCATTCCAGAAATAAATCTACAGAGGAGATAGCAATCATGTGATACTGTCTGCCTGATCTTGTGTATCACACATGATGTTCAGGTCTTAGGATGTGCATCTACGGAGGCTTGATGTTACACAGCACCAGAAGGAAGCTAATGATTTGTATGTTATAGGCCAAAGAAGCTTATAGGGAGATCCAATTTCCAGGTTGCTTATGTGCCATCTATACAGAAACCTACAGGTCCATAAACACACACCCTCTGAGGCTCAAAAGACAGAAAAACTGTCTTAAGACAAAGAATACACTGAGGATTCAGGATCAGTGAAAGATACCAAATGCAGACCATCAGGAATACCGAATTGTTTCAGTGCACGAATAAGTCCCAGCAAACGCTCTGATATGTGGATGCATTGTTATGGGCAGCAATGGGTAAGAATTTCCCCCCAAAATTGTGCAAAAGAGACCCAGTACTTTGACAGTGTGCTGGTCTGGCTGGAGTAGAGTTAATTTTCTTCACAGTTGCTGGTATGGGGCTATATTTTGCATTTGTGCTGGAAACAGTCTTGACAGCTATTGCTGACCAGTGCTTACAGAGTCGAAGCCATTTCTGCTCCTTACCCCACCAGTGAGTAGGCTGGGAGAGCACGAGTTTGGGAGGGGACACAGCCAGAACAGCTGACCCACAGGATATTCCATATCATATGGCATCATGCTTGGCAACAAAAAGTTGGGGGAAGAAGAAGGAAGGGTGGTGATGTTTTGTCTGCCCAAGTAACAGTTACACATGATGAAGCTCTGCTTTCCTGGTGATGGCTGAACACCTGCCTGCCAATGGGAAGTGGTGAATTAATTACTTATTTTGCTTTGCTTGTGTGCATGGCTTTTGCTTTACCTATTAAACCATCTTTATCTCAACCCCTGAGTTTTCTCATTTTTACTCTTCCAATTTTCCCGCTCTACTGGGGGAAGTGAGCAAAGTGTTGTGTGTGGCTTAGTTGCCAGCTGGGTTTAAGCCACAACAGTTACAAAAAAGTCACGTTAAGTAGAACATAAATTCATCTAAAAAACTAATGATGCCTGAGATGGCAAACATACTGACGTACACAAAGGCTTTGTCCCTGTTGCTAACTAAACCAAATCCAAGACAGTTTTCTGTTCTCCAGGTCAAATCGCACAGCATGACCTGATCTCACCTGCAAAATCAAATTGGTTGTGTCCACACTCACCAATGGTAATGGTTCTTGTTACCCTTCTAACTGTGCTGTGGAACTGCTTCGCAATGTGCTTTTTGCTGTGAGTCCAAACTGTGCCATAAGTGTGCCAAAAATCAAGCAGTATGGACAGCAGTGGTACAGTGTGTGAACTCTTGCACAGGTACAGGTTTATTTACAATCATAGCCTGAGGGAGATTTCTCCATGTGGTAATCCCCATTAGAGATGGAAAAGATATTTTTTTACACCCCAAAGTCTTCAGACATCAAAACTCTTCTCAACCCATACAGGGTGGGCAATATCTCAGCTGACATCCCTTGATGCTCACTGATACTTGCTACCACTCAGAGCAGACAGAAATGGAATTGAGCAGCTTCACTTTAATTTTTCTTTTGGGAACCCTAGTGGACCATCTGATACTAAAGAGACCACAAAGCACTGCATGTCTGGTTCTCTTTTCCTCAGTATTACTGTCAAAGAGCCAGACATGGAGTGATAAAAGCATGAGCAAATGAAAGCCAGCTGTAAGTTAAAAGTTCACACATGGCTGTGAAGAATCACAATCCATGTCTCAAAAAATGCTCTAGTATATCTAGGATAACACTGAGGATCAGTATTCAGTAGGCAAGACTTCTACAAAGGTAGTATTTTATGATAGTATATATTTGAGATTAGGATGTCAAGTTACAGTCTTATTCACCTGATAAGGTGGGAAGTAAGTTAGCCATCTTTCAATATGTGTAGCATACCATCCTGGTGCTAGGCATCTCTTTTGGAGAGCTTTAAGCTCAGATGGTGCTCGAGGTCCAGCGGTGATCACCTGATAGAAGCTGAATTTTAGAGCTGCAGGATCTTCATGTGATCGCTGATGCTGTAAAGGAAGTTACATTGCTGGAACTTTACAGACCACAAAAATTGGACACATAAGACAAAACTAGTAGGTCTGGCCTTACTGAAAAGAATTGCTTAATCTATCTTGTATTTTGAGCATGAAGTAGATAACTTTGTCTATAAACTAAATTTTGTATGGGCTGATTACATAAATTAATTAAGTAAGCAAGCATTTTTCAATGCTTGTATTACCATTTTGAAAAGGTGGTTTCTGGCATTTTAACCCCTGGAAGATTTTCAGGTTTACACTGACAGATACCTCAGCCCATGGGTGATCATATGTGGTGCACTGACTGATGAATAAAAGCTGCAATTACACAAACCTTTTATATACATATAGGCTGAAAGGATATACAAGGAGGAGTCAAGGTGGAAACCTTCATTTTTACCTGCCTGTGTACTTCAAAGTGCATACCTGATACCAGGAATATGCCCGATCAGATGGGTCGATGAGGATGGTGATGATCTTGGCCTTGGGGATGAGGGAAGCAGCTCGTTTAGGAGCTTCCTCAGAATGGAAATAGTTGGCACTTTTCTCAAAAAGGAAGTCAGTGGTGACATTAGAAGGAGTGGGGAAGAAATCCATGTACCTAGGAAAGTAACATCGTTCTCAGAATTACTTTCAAGTCACACAAAGGTTGAAAACTCTGTTAAGTGTATTTTATTCTAGAATAATCAATTAAAATAATAAGCCTCATGCCAAATAAAAGCAAACAGAAGTTGATAATGTATTTTTTATCATATTTCACTTGGTACTTGCTTTCTTCTCATTACATAAACATTGCAGCTAATTGAGTAATATGCTCAAAGTTGCATTCAAAAGCTTTGCTACAAAGCTGCATAGCTATTGCATCTGACATGCAGACTGTATGTAAAAAAGCTGAAATTAGAGGATGACCAAACAAAACAGAATGAAAAGATGCCACCGCCCTGTTAGTTTATTAAGTGTTTATATCTGCCTAATGCAAATATCTGAGAATGTGACACTGTTTCACTGAACAAACAACAGACTCTATTTCCCAAAAATGTTACAGCTGATTCGGTAAAAGTGATGAAGCTATACCAATTTCTGCTCACAAATAAAATTATTAGAAACTAATGACTCAACCTGCATGTGTGACCAAAACACTGACAGCAAAGAAGGTGGACAGCTTTGAAAGAGGCAATAAGCATTATAAGCAAATCTGCTCTAGATCATGTATGCTGTCATTACAGTGTTGTACTGAAGTCCTGGTAGTAGACTGAGTAAATACAAAGCAATGAGGCCTACAACCTTGTAAGGAAACACTTCATATTATGGTACTACACCAAATTTTGGAAAAAAGTTAATTGAGTCTTTAGATAACATGGCAAATTTGGAAACAAAAAGTAGAAGTTGATGTGGTGTCACTGAAAAATGTTAAAGAGATTGGACCAGGTGGGATATCAAGAAGTTATGAAGGTTAGGGTCAGCATTTCTGCTGAACACATACTGCAGAACTCTTGCTCAGTACCTCATTCATGAGATAATTATTAAACCCGACAAAGGCAAAGCTGAGAAGGCTTTAGAGAAACTTGTCTAAGAAATCTTATGTAACAGTACTTACATGAAGAAATGCATGACTGGTCTATTTAGACTTCTCCAAGAGCAGAAAGATCAGTTTTCATCTTACTCTTCTCTCATCTCTACTGGGAGACTACAGTGTACATCCGTACCTCTTTCAAGATGGCAGTACTGAGGTTGCCAAGGTCTGAAAGAACCCTCTTCTGCTTCTCTAGTTAGCCTTGGTCTAAATGCAAGCTTGGACAATGACTAAGTCAGCATCAGCTCTGGGAAAAAGCCGTTATCTCCACAACCATAGAAGAAATTGAACTGATTGTTATAGAATCATGGAATGGTTTGGGCTGGAAAGGACCTTAAGATCTTCTAGTTCCAAACCCCCTGCCCTGGGCAGCGACACCTCACACTAGACCATGTCACCCAAGGCTCTGTCCAGCCTGGCCTTGAACACTGCCAGGGATGGAGCATTTATCAGTTCTTTGGGCAGCCTGTTCCAGTAAAGAACACACAGTAAAGAACTTCTTCCTTATATCTAACCTGAACTTCCCCTGTTTAAATGCCTTGTTCTACCACTAGAGTCTCTGACGAAGAGTCCCTCTCCAGCATCCTTGTAGGCCCCCTTCAGATACTGGATGGCTGCTCTGAAGTCTCCACGCAGCTTCTCTTCTTCAGGCTGAACAAGCCCCAGTCTTCTCAGCCTGTCTTTACATGGGAGGTGCTCCAGCCCCTGATCATTCTCGTGGCCTCCTCTGGACTGTGAATACTCTTGCCTTGAAAAAGTCCCAGCCAATTAATGTACTAATGAGGAGGTATCTTGTATCTAATTATCATTTGGTAAGCTCATTTCACACCAGCATTAAAATATACTATCAGACTGAATGTCTGAGACACTTGTCTGTCAGCCAGAATCCAAATCTAAGCATTAAGTAACTGCACCAACAGGCAGTTCTGAGTATCCAAGACTTAACTGTCAGAAACTGGGAGAGGTGACTGGGACACGTAGTGCAGAGGTACAGATAGCCAAATGGGTGCTATAGAATGCGAACCTGGATCATGCAAGTTGACCACTGGTGGCTTTATGCACCAATCCTGTGTTATGATTACGGTAATTTGGCACATGTCTAGCAGCTAAGTTATATCTACATGTTAGGAAAGTGGATATGGCAGGAGGAATGAGAGAATCAGCAAACTGATCTTCTAGCAACATGAAAACATGGATTTTCTGGAAGAACTGGCTCGCTGTACTTAGGCTGTCTCCCTCAGTGTGGACCTGCTACGCATGTCATCTTCACTAACTTGAAAGCCCCAACAGAAGGAAGTCAGCTTTCTAACTTCCAGTCATTTAGCTGGCATCTCTCTATTGATAGTAATTGGCTGACTCACCACTCTTTGTAGTGAGAATCTGCTGCAACATTTATAACTCTGTAAAAACTAAGTGACTTAAGAAGAAATTGGATCTGACATATCTACACTAAAAACATGTAAGAGTGTTTACCCTGTTAACTGCATGGATGAATACAAAGCCAAAAGCAACAGAACTATCTTCCCTTAAACTGGGGCAGGGGATGTGTGTGTGAGGTAGGGAAA